CTCTGAAATATCACTACTGTATAATTGGTTTGAGGCTCTCCCAGACTTCCTTTGTCCTTGTCTGGTCTATGGAGCGAGCATAGAGGAGCATTATGGATTTGAAAGTCTTTGGCTCGTCATTCCCAGTTCACATGATCTGCAAAACGTTCTGGTCCAAACGCCTGATCTTTGCTGATGATTCTATAAAAGGTCATCTGTTCTGTTCTTTTTTGTGTACAGAACAACAAGAGAAATCATTAACCACTTGTCAAACCTGTGTGAATCTGGACATTGTTGCTCCTCAATGAAATATGATGATGATAATGAATATTTATAAAGAGACAATTTTCTGTTATTTCATGATATAAAATGTGAAACCTTCTCTTCATTTGGGCTGGGCCTGCTGATATGAGGTGTTTCGACGCTTTAACGCTCCACTATTGATGCATCTACATTGAATTTATTGAAGATTGAGTGTGTATTATAAAAAAATCATGTAAAAATGTGTTTTACATACAATGCAAACCAACAAATACATCATTCTAAAAGTTACTAACAATAGTAATAAAGTGCATCTGGGTGATGTCTGCAGAGTCTGTTTGAACCAGAGCAGAGCAAATGGTCCGAACCAGAGTAAAATGCTGAATGCTTTATTAGCATAATCAAAAATCCAGAAATCGGCTTGGTTCGGGCCGTCCCTCCTCTCTGCTCTGGTCTGGATCAGTGTAAAACCATGAACCCTGTACTGCAGCAACATTTACAGGTATAGAAAAAAGGCAAGAGAAATAACAATTGTAAAACACAAAACTGTTTCAGAACTACTTAAGACCATTTCCAGCGCATTCAAATGCTATTTCTATTTTGTTTCTCTCAGACTAATTGATAAACGGTTGCATAATGTCTGTGAGATTCTGACCATTGATTTTCTCAGTCGCTGATTAGTGTAAATAACACTGATTACATTAGTTTCCCCGATAAGCTCCCATGATGCACTGCCACGCGTTGTGCTAACTCACACAGATTATGTAATGTGATTTTCTGCCTGGCTGCTTCGGGATTAGTGGGTTAAAGGTACGGACGTCTGTCAAACAGGGTCAAACTGTTCATTTCATCATCAAATCTGCTTGTTGTGAAACTCGTGGGCCAAAGACCCAAACCTCTGACCTTGGGGGCCGCTGCTGCCCCCACCAGGACATCTGCTCAATATTATTAAAGCTGGGGAATCTAACTTCTCAGAGAAATGGCTGTTGTGTAAAAATATTTTGACATAATCTTATGAGCAAATTGTTCATCTTCTACATACTTGTAAGAAAAAGCCCTGTCAGTCACTATTTGATGCTTTGGGCTGAGAGCTGATTTTCTGAAAAAGCGGATATAAATATGTTACAGAAACCAACATTTGTGCTAGACTTGGAGAGTTCTTTTTTTTTCTGGTCAGAAAGTGGTGTCCCCCAGCTTTTAAGAAACAAAGAGAGAGGCTTTTTGCTGGCTTTGGCTTTTGGTCATAATAATGCTCATTCTGCGAAAGTAGAAATAGATTGGTTGATAGATAGATATATACTTTATTGATCCCCGTTGGAGAAATTCAGGTGTAATACAATAATTCGGCCATATTGACTTGATTAAATTAATCAGGCCATAATTTTTCCAGCCGTGGCTCTTTTTAAAGAAAAAATACATGTATTTTTTACTCCAGCTCCAGAATTAAAAAACTAAATCTGTAAAATCAGTCAAGATAAGATGTACAACGCTACTCAGCCTTTACCTTTGGGCTTGGTCGGTTTCCAGGGGTAACTGAATTAATTTTGTTCACAAAAACCTACCAACAATTATCCAAACCCATAATTAATACAAGTTATTTGTTCAAAATAAATTTTTAATGCGAAAACACATTACATCATAAGTTCCATCTCTTCAGCTTTGTACCTTAAAGAAGCTATACCCGATTTTTTTTCTAAGTAGTTCATAAAAATGCTTTTTACTACATACAAGTTGTATCATAATACATCATTTAATTGAAAACTTGAGGTAATTGATTCAGCTGTGTAAGAATTACAAGCAGTGAAAAGTGCTGAGTAGAGTCTGAGCGGGCCGCTCTTTCTCCTCCGCTCACAGAACGAGCAGCGAACAGCCTGCGTCCTCTAGCCCCTACAGCGCTGCTTAACACCAGGACTTCGACTTCAAAATTCGAATATAAATTCTAAAATAAAAAATGATGAACAAAATAATTGAATAAAAAAATGTGAACAAATATTAGACAACCCTTGTAATTCGAAATGTATTTAATGACTGCAAATAAAATAGTTAGCTCCCAAAGGTTTCACCGGGACGTGCTAGGCAGGTAACAGCTAAGCTAGCTAGTTGTTTCATGGTAACTTCCGGGTTTTTCGCAATCGCTTTTTGTCACATTGAAACAGTATTTTTGTTATGAAAACGTTAACAGCAAATTCTGAAATCATCCGTGCATGTGTGTTAAGGATGTATATGTGTACTGTATTGTCCGATTGACGTTTAATGGTGTTGATTGATAGATATGTAGTTGTTTATTGAGCGTGGCTAGCTCCGCTAGCTCCGTTGGCTTCTCTACACAGACGAGTGTGTAGTGACAGGTGCTGATAGCTTGTTGTACTTGCAGAGTAATGGCAGTATTTTACACACATTGTATTACAAACAGAGATTGCATTGGGGCTTCGGTCATTATTGGTTTGAGAGTTCTGTTATCAAGAAAAAATTATCGGAAGAATTGCTGCTGCTGCTTTGAGGAGCTCTATAACAAATTATAATTCAATATTAGAATATATTCTAAGGTTTTAAATTAATACATTCGGACGCAAAACTAGCGGTATTCTTTTACTTATATATTGTGTTAGCAGTGCGTTGCTTTAGTGCCATTTCATCTGTGATTGTTGCACAGCTCGCAAATAAAACTAGGTGGCTCTGTGTTATGAGAGCGTAGGGGAAATAAGAAGCCATTGAGCGAGTTGGGGGGCGGTGCTAAACATTCAAACATTGCAGAAACGGGTATAGCGCCTTTAAGTATTGTTTGTGTCTTTTTTAGATTTGAATTCAGGTTTTCTCATGGCGATCTACAGAACACAGCTCTTTGTGCATGTGAGCCGGTGTAGCTCCTGGTGTCAGATCGGTGTCGCAGGTCATGTTTGCACTCTCCCGCCTGAGCGTAATATGATTGTGCTTCTAAATCCGTCTCAAACCGAAGATTAACTGTTGACACTTTCCTCTCGTCTCCTCGCGTGCCCACTGTTTACATACATAATCCAAACCACTTTTATCGTGCTGACAACCTGCCTTACAAAGCTCCTCTAGGCCTGGGCTGGAGATATGAGGCTGAGTCTGGGGCAGAAAGACATTCTTAAGGTAATAAATGGAGCTTTATGGGGCAGTAAAGTACAGGGACATTGACTTTAGTACTTGCAGTTCGCATTTATGTCTCTGTGCTCTGCTGGTGCTGAAGATATGGAAGTGGAGTGTAAATTCAATCCATAGAAGTGTCACCAACACAAAGCCACTCTCCTTTTCATCTCATTCATTCTTCTGAGCTTTCTCAGCCTCCGATCCAATCCTTGGTTATGGAAAGAATTCTAAACTATTTCAAACAGTTGGTGTGAAAATAAATGTGTGTAGACCTGAAATATAGAATTTTCTCTCAAAAGAAAAAAAATATGACACATTGTTTTTGACCAGTAAAAATTATTGATATTTTTTTACTTTGTCATTTTATTTTTTAAATTAAAACATAAATTACTATTTTATTTAAAAAAATATTCAAACATTTAATTATATGGCAAAACAAGAAGGTCTAAACACGCTTTCCATCTGTAATTCCGTATACTACCATACCACCAGAGAGTTTTTTGCCGTTTTTTTTTTCCAAATTCCAAATTTACTGGCTGAAACCACTGCCATACGATTGTAAAGAAAGTGATTTCCCCTGAGGAATTGCCAAAACTAATTTATACACAGGCAGCGTGATGTCATCATACTATTACAAGACTGAGAGAGGAGCTGGATTTCACCAAAGAACCTGGCGACCCAAATGAGAATTTTTTTGGAACAAAAATTTTAAATGTTAACATACGTAATGTGCCCATTGTATTTTAAATTAAGAATAAATCCACATTCAACTTTGAAACAGAAAAGGTCAAATGCGTTGTGCCTGAAAGTGTCATTGACGAGCTTCAGTCTCCAGCACTGGTTCTGCAGTCACATGTTCAAGGGCTGAAGAAGAAAGGTCCCTGTTTGGATTTGGGTGTATTTTTGTCGTCTTTGTGATTATAAACTTTCTTCATTTTGGAATCCATCAGTTGTTTATAAATCCACACTCATCTCTCCACCGTTCGATTGGAGAGATGAGCTCATCGTGCAAAGCATCATGGGGGAGAGAGCACTACTTTCTGGAGCTGTCAGCTAATTTCTTGGGATAAACATGTATAATGGATAAAAACCTCCATCTTGTGGTAGAACTGAGAAATGACATTCATCTACATTTCAATCCAACTGCGTCGTCAGAGTGAAAACATGCAGTTATAAAGAATGGTTTGGTTTCAAAGAATGTTTTGTGTCTTTGGTGAAAGTGGTTTCGGGTTTAGCTGCACAGGCCCAAAGGAACAGAGCAGCGCCGATATCTCTTGTGTAAACAACCGTGTCCTCAGGGAGAAGGAATGTTTCAGGTCCGACTGGATAACGATGTGCTTTTTACTGTGATAATCCTTCAGAATAAAGCCTATTTATTCTTATGTCAACACAGTTTGTGCTCAGAACCAGGGGGAGGGATTCAAACTTACTTTTATGGCAAACATGTGTTATACATATGGTCATCGCTTTGAGAACAAAAAAACTATGATTTATTTGATCGATATACTAATCATTTAACTTAAATCAATTTGACCAACTCAAATTACATTTTACGAATGGTCACAATACATTTTGTAAATGGTCAATTGATGTCTCCGTCTCATTTGTTTCAGATGTTAGATGCTAATGTGTGTCTTGTCTGCTTACAGCATCAAGCTCTTGGCAGTTCAGGACCTGTTGGACCGAGAGGCTCTGGATAAGGTAAAGATAGTGTTTTAACTTTAACTTAAACTTTCAACATTCACCTGACCTGAACCCAGCTGCTACTGTGGTTCTATCGGGTTATTGGGTATTTGACCTGAGCTGTTGGCACTCTCCTCCATTAACCTCTAAAAATATGACAAGGGCCGCAGGCTGTTTATCCAGCATTAAAGCAGAGAAAAGGCAAGCTCCAGAACATGAAAGCTGCCTGTGATCTGAGCGCTTTGTGTGCCGACAGTAGAACGGAAGGTGAGAAATGCAAGTGTGCTGGCATGGCTTTTTAGAGCGGCCCAGAACTATTGGAATATACTTGAAGTGGATTGTGAAAGTTACAGGTCCGACAGACTGTAGCATTTCAAAATAAGGTAGAAATTAGAGTAAGAATATAGATGTTTGTTTGTTTTTACTTATCTAACAACATACTGTACATCTTTGTTCAAGTGTATGTCAGGTACTTTTTGAATTATGGAGAGGCATTTTTTATGTAGACTTTGGATCCTTGAGTGTCAATCAATAGAAACTCGGCTTGAGCTTAGGTTAATGCTAATTGACAGACATTTGATATCATTATTAGAAAAAACACCAATACTGCTGGACTGCAAACCTTTCCCTACCAACCAGAGGTAGATTAAACTATAAGAAGATTAGTTTTTGCTTTGATGACACAAGCTAAGAGATTAACAAGAATATAGCTATAAAAAAACATGACAAAATAAATAGTAAAATGTGTGTGTTTATATATAGCATTAAAAATACAATCAACATTATGTTGGGTTTGTGGGTGTTTTAAATTGTGTTAAAAACAGACTGCTTTTTAAAAGGAATAGCTGCACACTAGCATTTTAAACAATTATCAGCACTCTCAGTTTTTGTTAGTATGACTTACTTTTGAAGCTTACGTTTTGTGTTCTTTAAATAGTTTGGAACCACTTAAAGGGGATGTCTGAACTTAAATTTTATTTCATTTAGAAAATAACACACATTATTGACTATATGACCCTGTTGTATCATCTGTAGTAAGTATTTTCTCATAATAGATATATTTAAAACAGTCCTTCCTCTTGGAACAAGCATCCCTGGTTAAATTAGTTGGAAGAAACTAGTAAGTAAGTAAGTAAGTAAGTTTTTTATTTATATACCGCCTTTTCACTGCAGATCTGAGTCTCAAAGCGGTTTACAATTGTTAATTTTTGGGCATTTGTCTCTCACTCCACACAGAGATGGGAGCGGGGCCAGTACAGGAGGCGCATGCTAGAACTATTGGACATATTTTTAGTGGTAGGGGAAACCGGAGCACCCGGAGGAAACCTACGCAGACACGGGGAGAACATGCAAACTCCACTCAGAAAGGCCCTGGTCCGGCCGGGATTTGAACCCAGGACCTTCTTGCTGAGAGGCGAGAGTGCTATCCACTCAGCCACCGTGCCGCTGAGTGGCACCCACCCACCACTAGTTCGACCCATAGGGAGAGGCTTAAGGTGTCTATTGAGGATTTAAATTAATTGTGTCCAATCAGGAAGCTGTGGAGGCGGGTCTAACTGGTTCTAAGAAGTCTCTCCATCTTCACAATTTGAAAAGTGATTCACACATCGATCTGCAAGGACCTCTGCACTTTCAGTTTTTGTGAATTCACTTTGCCTTACTTTTGAACCTTTCTGCAAATGCTCCCCTTGCATTATTCATGAGTTCAAAGTCAGAATATTGTGTGCACTTGTTTATGTCCATGTAGTTCTCACTGCCCACTCTGAGATCCAGGTCACCCTCAGTCGCCCACACAGTAGCCCCACACAGGCCCTCCTAAACGGGGTGGTTGAACTGGTTGCCCTCTGCAGAACGTGTCCTCTCCAGCTGGATGTTTGGCAGAGAAACTGGGCGTCTAAAGTGGGGCAGGGTGAGCTCAAGAATTCTGCTCTGTAAAAAAGGAGCTAACAAAGGAGACTATGCAACATCTTTGAACTATGCTACAACATTTCTAGACCTCGAGTTGTTCTTTAGGTCCATCCATTGTCAGGAGGTTCTGGTACAAACGTGTAACTTTCGTTTCAATCCAATGTACTTCTGTATAGGCCTAAATAACAGTTATCTCTGAGGACTTTAAAATCTTTTCAGTTTTAACAGCATGGCTACATGGTTCCTTCAAACAGACCTTTAGTTATTTTAGTATCAGAAACTTCTGGGAACAAAAATACGCAAATATTCCCTCTACCCCTTCTGTTAAATGGTATTGATATGGTATTATTGATCATTTTGTGCTGTATTTCCCTGCTTCACATTCCACACATTCCAACACATGAAACCTTGATACCTTGTTTTTAATTTTGAAAAGAACACATATTTTTGAGTATGACCCTGTATCATCTGTTTTAGTATTGTAGTAGTGTAGTATTTTTCATAATAGATATATCTAAAACAGTCCTTCCTCTTGGATTAAGCATCACCGGTAAAATTAGCTGGAAGAGAATATTTAGACCAATGGGTAGAGGCCTCAGGTGTCGAGGATTTAAATGTATTTCTCCCAATCAAGGAACTGTGGAAGTGGGTTTATTTGGTGTTTGCGTTTGAAGGAGTCTCTCAGTCATTATAGTGATTCGTGCCTGTTCTTAACCACCACACATAAGCGAGGCACCAGACATTTTGGTGCAAATGAAATGAAGAATCCACCGTGATCTCCTGCTACGTCAGCTCTGTGTTGTGTCAATAACAGTCATAGCGGATCGAAATCACAATGACTTCTTCAGGCAGCGTCAAGGACCAGCGGGGGAGTGACGTGGGGATAGGTGATAGGCCACATTCCTCCGCAACGTAAATCCTCCCGTCCTTCTAAATCCTGCTCCGCGTTCCTGCTGCTATTTCTGGACTCGATATTCTCACTGGAGCTCGGCCCGTTTTTGACTCCACGCTTTGATGAAACGTTTGGGGTCGCTACTTCACTTCCAATGTCCTGAATCGGTGTGTTTGAACTACTAAAACTGAATAAAAAGTTGTGTAAGAACAAGGCCATTTAATTATAGCTATAACACCTGGTTTACCTGTGCGGTGTGTATTGCTGGAGCTGGTGGTGTTGCTTATATTATGGATCTTCTATACCCCAGTTTAAGCGTAAGGCAAGGAATGGCAAATTTATAAAGCACCCTTCATGTGCTTAACAGTAACAGTAACAATAAATCATTTTAGGAAATAAAAGCAATAGCACGCCCGCACATGCACATGCACACGCACACGCACACGCACCACGTATACGCATCTGTAATAATAAAATAATTATAATAAAATAAAATAATGTCCATAATCAGCAATCCAATTCTGTCCACACCACGAGGACGGTGGTAATGTCCATTTCTCATGTGTGTCCTTTTCTCAGTGGTTTACAGCAGGATTCCTCAAATGGAAATTGCACAATAACAGAGATTGAGACAAGTTGATCAGTTTTACTATCTAGAACTAGTTATCTGAAACTAGTCAGTACTTTGTCGAGTATTAATGATTCATGGAGTAGTAGTAGTAGTAGTAGCTGTAGTAGTAGGCTGAAGTAGGAAGTCATAACAATATTTTTGACATTTGATACCAGAACTGGTCTTTGAACCTAATGGTTGTGGGTTCAATCCCTCCATGACCCATGTGATCTGCACCAACTAATATCTGCTGTCGTTGTGTCCCTTGGCAAGACACTTAACCCCTCTTTGCCTGAAGCCCGCGCTTAAAGACCAAGGTCCTGTCTTCAATGACGGAGAATCCATCATCCTGTGGACCCACCACCTGCTGGAGGATCAGCAACGGACTGGTGCTTTGAGCATTCTCCGACCCAGAAATGGATAAATAAAGGCGTAGAAAATGACATGACATGATTGTGTCTGTTTGGCCTCTGTGCACTGAGCCCTCACACAGCTTTCTAAAGTGTAGAAATGTGTTGTTATTGCTTTGTCAAAGACCATAAGCTTTGGATGAGTGGTACAATGTAGTGTAGGATCCATGGGAGTTCTCTGAGGATACCAATACTAATACAATACAGTCACTTCATACTTTTCAGCTGACCTCTTTGCGTTTTAAGTACTTTTGAAGCAGTTTTGTGTAGAAGGAAATTGCGATTGTTTTGCAGTATCTATGCAAGGTGTAGTGATTAAAACAGTGAAGTTATTTTGTAGACACTTGCTAAATCCATGAGAGTAGGTGCAATTAAAAACTTTTACTGGGCTAAAAATGCAAAATACAGTAAAACAAAAAATAACAGTAACTATTTAGCAAGAATAAGGCAAGTCACGGAGCAAGGTCGAGACGCTGTGTGGCTCCACTCCACACTGACCATGTTATTATATTAAAGAAGGATATAAAGCAGGAGTACCCAGCTTAAATGGTCTTATTAAATCAAACCATAACATGCTGCCCCTGTCTTATTAAAAAACCTTTTATTTGCATATTGAGAGCTGATTGGCAGAATGAGGGCAGGAACTTTCCGCTATATTCAGTTGTGAGCACCTGGCCTCATGCATGTGTCTTTTACAGTTCTGTGTGGAGCTGAACCAGGCCAGTCTGTCCAGCGTGCGCAGATGGAAGAGTCCCAGGGGCCTGTGGAGGTGCGCCGTGTCGGAGCAGCCAACGGGACATGGCTCCAAGGTACAACTTCTATCACCAAAGAAAGCATTATGTACCATACTTTCTGAGCTGTAAGACGCACCTGTAAAAAAGCCGCACCAGGAACATGTTTTAAAGGGAGTAAATGGTGTCCACATATAGGCCACACTTGAGCCGCAGGTTCTTTTTTAAAGTAACCGAGAGCCTAGTTGTGTTTTAACTGGTCACAACAGGATTTAATGATTGTGTTTAACAGCTTAAACGTTAGTTTCCATTCTGCTACTTTAAAGTCCATAAACTCTGCTCTGACAACAGCCAAACTCTACCACAATAAAAATACACATATTAGCGCCACATAAGGCGCATGATGATGTATTATATACAGCACAATTAGGCCCCCCTTATACATATTGTCATTACAATGGTGTAGTGCTGGGCAATATATCAAATATAGGCAATTAATCGGCTTTTGAAAAAATCAAATTTGTGAATAATGTGAAAATTGTGAAATCGAATGAAGGATATTGTGAGAGTTCCCGCAGCACATGAACTATATTTGCAATATCAGCACAATCTGTACAAGACTTTTATAATACGTAATGTTAAAACAAATTAAAAATAGTTTTGAAACGTAAATATTGAGATCAAAACATATTTTTTAAGAGCAAAGTCTGTCTTTGGTGACTTCAATGAAAATCGATTTAAAATCGAAATCGTCCAAAACAGGAAATAAAATAGATTTTAATTTTTTTTGCCATATCGCCCAGCCCTATAATGGTGTTCTTTACGAAAGGATTAGTGGTTTGTTGTTTTAACGTTTTAAGATCTGATGAATAAAAATATGATCTAAATGGAATCTTAGATATTGTTGGAGGGTTCTGTGTGAGGAAGTAAAACACAGTGGATCGAAGCTGAGCGGCCCACCCCTGTCTCAAGGTAGGTAAAGTAATCGGAGCCTAAGTATAGATTTTTATTGTTCCAGATAAATCCACTAAGAACCTTATTGATTTCCTGAATACAATTATTTGGCAATGGCAGTGAGAGTGATGAAACCAGTATAAACATAGACATTTTGGTTATCTCATCAACAGGCCATTGTTGTCCCGTCACATTCACATACTTCACCCACAAGATCATAATTAGCTTTAACAAGTGTATTTTATTGATTTACCAGGTTTCATAATAAGTGTTATTGTAGCAAGTCTTAAAGTGGGGGCAGGTTACCGATGATTCATTAAACATATTCAAGAGAGGAGTCAACAACTGCTTCTGGAAAGTTTTGTAGAATTCTAAAGGCACGGTGTCAGGCCCTGGCCTTACTTAAACTAGGCCGGGCAGCACCAATTCACACTAAGAGGAGTGGAGAAACTGTAGGTACTGTATATCCTGACAACCCACTGAGATCCCCCGTGACCCCTAATTTCACCATCTAACATTGATTAATAAACAGGATAATTCAATTAAATACAATTCTATAGTTTTAATATATACATTTAAAAATATAAAGTGTGTCTTGTGCCCAAACAAAGCAACCATATATATAATTTTTATTGCACAGGTTTACGTAACAAAAAGTGTCATTCAGATAAGGTAGTTAGAGTCCACAAACCTGTAGAAAAAAGTGTAGAAAAAGAATAGAGCTTACAAAAATCGTGCACCTCTTAGACTTGAAGTACAGTCTGGTTGTCCATCTTCGTGGTTGTATTCAAGTTATTGCTAATTCAATAGAAAGTCTTCATCTTGCAAGGAGGCAGTTGAAATCCCCTGAAGGATCCAGCCTCTATGACCTTCTTCTTCACTGTGCTGAATGTGTTTGGTGTCCTCATGGTCCTCCTTTCAGTCATATCTTCCTCCACATTGTCAAACTTGTTGTCAAGGTCATCAGCAGCACTTATCTTTACGATTGAAGAAACCGTGGTACGCAGGAAAAGACGATCACTTAGGTCTAGGTCTGCATGTTGTGCATCAGCCACTGTTTATCCACCATCGTACTGGCCTGGTTACAAGGTTTCTTTGTGCGCGGCTGTGCCTCCGTACATGTTTTGACAATTTTTACAACATTTTGGGCATGCCTCCTCACCCTTGTGCTACCATCAGATCACCTACCACACTGATAAAAGTAAAAGAAATAACCCTAAAATAGGTCTGTCCCCACATGCACAATAAGTCAAATCCTCCAGCTCCGGTCCTGACCAAGCAGAGTACCAACACTGGAGATGGGTCTCTGGGCGCTATACTACGGCGCCCACTTCTCCTGATGGAAGCCTTAGTGGCATCAGGATGGGTCAAATGCAGAGGACAAATTTCCCTTCAAGGACAATAAAGTGCACATTTACAGTTCACATTTGGTTCTCATCCAGGTGCATTTGTTGTTTGTGTTTTAGGGAAAGAGCTTCAGTGGCTTCATGTGGGACAGCTCCTCTGGCATCGACCTGAAGGAAGCCACCATCCCAGAGTCTGCAGTTACCAACGGCAACGGGACCCAGGGCCAGCCTGGACTCTACAAGGCTCGGTTCACTGTAAGTCAAGGGTTTTGTGGAGGTTCAAATCCCACTCACTGCGCTGCACTAAGCCCATGAAAGATGTCCAACTTATTTTAGCTTAGACTAGACTAAGCAAGGTTTCACCAGGGGCACTGTTAGTAGCACTTATTTTCAAAACACACACAATGGTCCTTTGTGGAAGCAGCACTTCAATCTTTCTTAGGCTCTGGTTGAGCCAGATTTAGCCAATTCTTTGTCTTTGTACAATGTGATATCCTTTTTTGTTCATTTCAAAAATGCTTCACCAGGGTGAAAACTGTATCATAGTTAAATATATTTAATCTCACCTGATTTATTTTGGTTGCATCATTAGGCTAAAGAAACGGTGCCAATGGTTATTGTTGTGAATGACGAAGCGTGTCATATTTTCATTTTTTATCCTTTTAGTCTTTGGAGCACTTAGTTTTCATCAATGGTTCGCAGTTTCTCACAAAAACTTAAACTGTTGTACTCTTTCTCGTTGTGTCAGAACACCCTCTCTCCTTCTCACCGTCACTGCCATCTAGTGGAGAAAATCTATATTACATAAATTCATTTTACAGCACCATTAGAATGACAGCTTTCCAAAATGACATCGAATAAAAGTGTGTGACCACAAGGACACCGTTTGTGGAGGTCACTCTTGTCTGTATTTCTGTCTCAGGTGGGGTCTTACGAGCTCAAGCTGCTGAACGTCCACATGCAGACTAATCATGGGGAGAATGGAACCAACGGACACCACCGGCTCTCCCCTGGCCTCCTGGACACTCTCAAAGGTCTGTCACAAAGTGCCTGTTCAAAATAAAAGAATAGTTTGCTGTATGAGAGAGTGAATGGATGGTGTTGGTTGGGTTAGGGTTAGGGTTTGGGACTTTGGGTTAGCGCCAGTGTGTTCGGCGTCTCGCTTCCGTCATCACCGCATAGCGCTTTGGGTGACCTTGGTCTATAAAAAGTGCGCTAATAAATATATAATGAAAACATTACTTACTTAAAGCTTGTTTCATAAATATGTTGGTCCCAGCTGAAGTCAACAAAACGGATCACAACCACAACGGTCTTCATCTTATCTTTGCAAACTTGTAATAAAGAGCCCTGTGAGTCACTGTCTGACTCTTTGTGCTAAAAGCTGATTGGCTGAGTGATGATGGTCAACTCTTTTTCACTTTTCTATCTGAAAAAGCTGCCTATGTGTTTTGTACCTCTAGCAGAAGTTCAGTTCCATATTCAGGACACACAACAGAAACCGAAATACAGTATTGACCAGATGCATCAACGTCATCCAGTCACGTGATTGTGAATGAGCTTACGGCGGAAGTATTGGAAACTAGCATTGCTGCGAGAGCAAAAAGGACACAACTCTTAAAAACGGAGCTTCCTCTCCTAAATCGAGAAGTGGCTGCTTCAAGCAATGTTCGATTACGTTATAGGTGGAAGTAGGACATCAGGTCAGGGCTCACAAAGAGTGGTATTTGGAGAAGTTAAGGATCGCCTAACTGGATGTTGACCCGTACCTTCCCCCCCCTGTCAATTTTATTGATTAAATAAAATGTCTATTTTTGCCCGAATTCACCCTACATGATCTTTATCATTATCGTTAACAATGCATTACACTGGAGCAGATTTATATGTACATTTTGCTGGTAGCATTAGCAATAGTCCACTTTTCTGTGGCTTTTCTGTCTACAGCCAAACATGATACGTACTGACGGAGAGGAAAATAGTGAAACACGCAATTGACTTAAAAGATAAAAATGTCAATGTTGCAGCGCACATATAGGACAGTAAATACAATAAATACAAACTTGTGATTGCTTTATCTTGTAAAAGTGTTCACTGCATATTAGGGAGTACTTGGATGGGTCCCAGTCCTTTTGGTTGATTGCCGCCATCGTCGTCTTCTGTCTTCATGACGAGCAGGTATCAGATAAAAAAGCTTATGTCCTTGCCTGTTAGTATAATCAAATGCACTGCAAAATGTCACAGGTTTGGCTGTAATGCGCTGAAACAGGTTGTTTTGGTCAGGTGTCCGTAGGCTCGCAGTTAGACTTCTGCCGTCTGTCATGGAGAGTGGGCGTGGCCGGAACGTCACATGCAAGGGGTCAATAGGCCTGGTTTAGCAGTCTTATGTCTTTGGGAAAGAAACTTCTTCTTCTCATCCTTCTCATTATTGGCTTTGAGCAGCAACGTGAACAGATTATGATCCGGATGGTTTTTTAGATGAGAGAATCATTCAAGAGTCATATATTTTGTTAACTGGCAAATGAGGGTGAACTCTTTGCTACTTCCAGTACACAAAAATGTGGTTCAACTTTTCTATACAATCCATGGCTGATGAATACTTATTTAGACTTGGTGACAGTGAGACCATCTTCCTCTTGTGTGTGGCTGCAGCTGAGAAGGAGCTGCTGGTGCTGGGGGACTTTGGTGGCCCCCCTCAGACCTCGCAGCTGGACGTCCTGAGGAAGGAGAGGTTCTGTGCCCTGGTGCCGCAGTCCCAGTTCACCGACATCAGCACACGCTCGCCCCTGGGAACACGCTGCCTGGACAACATCTGGATCAGCAAGAGCCTCAAGAAGATCTACAGCGGTCAGTGCCTCACAAGTCCTCACTAAGACTGCAGCGAATGAGGGCTGGAACTATTATTCATTATATTTAATCTCAGTTTGAGGCTTAAATTAAGTGACATTATTTTTCATAGATGAATTGTTACAGCCCTACTGTTGGTAACTCTTGATCTGGCAACATTCAAATTTCCATATCTTCTTTTATATTTTCCTTTAGAGCACTTGCCCTCCAACTGAAAGACAGTCCTTGAACTAGGGCTGGGCAATGAATCAAATTTAGGCAATTTATCGGCTTTTGAAAAAATTTAATTTGTGAAAAATGTGAAAATGGTGAAATCGAATGGAAATTGTGAGAAGTCCAGCAGCACATGAATTATACTTGCAATATCAGCTACGTATCAACGTTATAATACGTATTGGGGGAAACAAATTCAAAATAATTTTGAAACTTGATTAAGTTAATGATGTATGATCGTCACGTGTTGAATTTGAAATGTTTTATTTCACTTGCGCCTGAAGAAATTATGTGTACAAAACATGTGTTTTGTATTTCCTTATTTATTTATTAGCCCAAATCAATAATCAGCTCCAATCTATTGTTACTCGTGGGTTTCATGTCATTCTTTATTTTTTTCTGAAAAATGTAATACCGATTCTATATTGCCCCTTGGAAATTTCCAATTTGCAAAGTCTATGGGAGTCAGACATGCATATTTTACAGTAGGTACACGTGATTCAGATCAGTGATAGATCTCTATGAGACGAGCCTAAAACTCTCCCTGAGCCTCACTCTGGGACCAACAGGAAGTCGGCCATGATGGGCTGAAGTTTCGTCAATTTGACTTTTCATTTTTGGATTTGTACTTGACACTGGTTTTTCATCACACAGATTTCTACCACGTCATTTCCTAATTTGGAAACATTTAAGTTATTTAATCGTTGCCATGGCGAATACTGCCTTCGTTTTTGCCAAGCCCTCAGGGCCACAGGCTCATACCTACAGAGCTGAGACTCACATCACTTACAGCTGGTAATGGCCTGAGCGAAATGGTGTGAAAATACACACCTAATACGACTCTAGAACGCCACCTATGGGAGGCTTCCGGACTTAAACTTTTCTGATCCTCACCAAAGTCGCAGAGTCAATTCACAAAGCAAAAGACTACATTACACACTAGGTGCATGTTCAGTACATTCACTGAATCCTTTTGATTCGCTTTTTATGCACAATTCTGATCCAATCAGGCTGTGATTTCATCAGCAAGTACACTGCATCCCACTTATGGGACTGGCGCCCGGGAGACGGCTGCGAGGTGGCGAGGGCTTTAATTTATTTTTTATTTTCTCTTTACAAAACACATGGAATCTGAATCCTGAGCCTCATGTTTGTGAACACATCTGTGCCCAGGTCAGTGCATGGTGGTGCGCGAGGGAATGACCAACCCCTGGATCCCTGACAACTGGTCTTGGGGGGGCGTGGCCTCGGACCACTGTCCCGTCATGGTTGAGCTCTACCTGGACCCCTGCCCTAAAGACCTGCCCCAAAGACCTGGAGTGACCGTGGAGCGAGAGGAGCAGCTACCCAAGCATGAGCGGTGACCACGCACTCTCATGGACCCACAGGAAGTTCTCAGCCAAAGACTGTTCATATTACAGTGAGACGGACGATGAAGACGAACGTGCAAACGTTTTCTAAAGACATGAAGCAATAAACAGTGCTTTAATGTGGCTGCTTTGTGTGTCTCCTTCATTCAGATCAGATTCGGACCAAAGTGGAAAGTTGGCTGACTGACCTGACTGAGATTGTAAAAGTGTTAGATTTTCATTTCTTTATGAATGAAAAACTCACGCGGGCTTACATGCACTTTTAGAGGATTGATTTCTCAAAGCTTATGGCATCAAATGAGCATTTTAAGTTCCTCAACAAGACACACTGCAACCACAAGAGGGAGACAGAGATGGGAGAAACCAGTTCAAAGCATTGGCCTTGCACTCGAAGCGTGCCAGTTGTTTGTTAAAATATCTATTGTAAAATAAAATTATATTAACATGAGCCTTTTTTATCATGGAAAAAATGTCTTTTTGATGAAGATTACAATAATTGAATAGTTACTATTATTATAAAAGCATGTTTATACATTTGATCTCATCTAATGATTTATAAGTAAGTAAGTAGTAAGTAAGTTTTTATTTATATACCGCCTTTACACTGCAGAGCTGAGTCTCAAAGCGGTTTACAATCGTTAATTTTGGGCATTTGTATCTCACTCCTCACAGAGATGGGAGCGGGGTCACCAGTACAGGAGGTGCATGCCAGAACTATTGGACATATTTTTAGTGGTAGGGGAAACCGGAGTACCCGGAGGAAACCTACGCAGACACGGGGAGAACATGCAAACTCCACTCAGAAAGGCCCTGGTCCGACCGGGATTCGAACCCAGGACCTTCTTGCTGAGAGGCGAGAGTGCTATCCACTCAGCCACCGTGCCGCCCTATAACATTAGGGGAAAGCTCTCCGTGGGTAGAGAAGGCTCTTTGAAGTGAGAAACCACATTTAGGTCAGATGTTCTATTACCTCTTCTATAAGTCTATACAAAACTTGAACGGGATAGTTCATGCTGTAAATATGATGGCTGTCAATCATTTACAGAGTTGAAGCAGAAACGTCAACAGTATTTGGTCAGTGTGATGGCCCCAGGAAACGGGCTTCAAGCAATCTCTACAGCGACATTCAATGAGGTGGTCAGCAGATGCACTCTTTCGAACAAATATATGAAAATAATATAACGATATAACGATAACTAGATAACATCATTTTATTAGTTTGGCTGTGAGAAAATGCGGTGCAACTAAATGTGAACAAAAAGTATGGTGTGTCCCTGGCCTGTCCTCAATAGTTCAATAGCTCATTAGTTCTCTACCAGCAGTGTTGGATCTGAAATCGATTGTAACGCTGCGTAGTGTTTACTGCATAAATATAGTTTAACACTTATATTTCATAAAAACATAACAGGGTTCGTCAAAATGCTGCTACATGTATTCTCAAATACAACAATGTTAACAGAGGTCTAAAAGGACTTTTCTTCATTATTAAAAACTAATAATTAGGCTGCGTATTCACGAAAATGACTCGTACTACTGAAAAGATAATGGACTGCATAGGTTGATTTCTTGTTTCTTGAATATTATCCATTTCAGAAATTATCTGACACATATCTAAAGTCAGTTCTATATGGTTGTTTTCAATTATATTTTTAATTTAAATAAATCCTGGAGAAATTGGGCCTGCAGGCAAGAACAAAGTGTGACAATCTAAAAGAGAAGGGGGACTTATGGATACAGGAGGATGAGCAGAGGGCAAGAGAAAAAGTAAATTAATACAACTTCTGCGTATTTGATTTAAATTTAGAATGAGTCCATTAAAAAGGCAGTACAAATACTTTTTTACTCACTTTATTTCATCTCTCAACACTCATGGAGGACGTTGAACACGACTGGAGGTTTTTACAAATGTACAATTAGGTTATCAAACATTAGAGCTATGGATTGAACACTAAAGAACATTTCTAAACATATTTACATGAGTTCAATGTAAGAAAAAGTCAAAACGACAAATTGGGATCAGTCTTTTATGAAATGGAAATGTTTTGTTTACAATGAAAAGCAACATTCAGTGGTTTGACGTTGATCATCTGGAAATAGTTTATCCTTCAAATATATATACTTTGATCAAATACTTTTTGGCACAGACGCAGTCAATCATCTCTGATATTTCCTAGAGTTTTAAATTAATACTGAAAAAAATACAAACCATGTAAGTGCAACTCCCAAAATCAAACTGAAAAAAAAATGTTAAAATCAAAATAAGTAAATATACTTAGGGCCAAAGGTCAGACTACAGCCTGAGTCCTGGGTCCAAAGTTTTTGGAGTTGGTCCTTGCTGATGCAGTAGTTTGAGGACAGTGGTAATGATCCAAGACATTTATTGACCAAAAGTTCATGTGTTGTGTTTTTTATCATTGCATTTTTTGGGTTCAAACATATTCTCTGATCTGTGTTGGCGAATCGACGCCTTTGTAAAGTCCCCCAAGATAACTGCTGTTGTAATTTAGAGCTATACAAAGACAATATGAATTGAAGGTAGATTTGTTTTAATGCAATAAACACAGATGTAAACTGCACAGTGGCAGGGGAAGAAGGATTAGCCCAGTGACATCACTGCACTGATCCTTAAAGTGCTTCCTGATGCGTCCAGGTTGAATCAAAGATTATAGTTATTCACACTACCTCCCTGGCAACTCACCCAAACATTGAACTGGATTGGAATGAACGTTAAAAACAACGGATATTGTGCCTTAATTTAAATAAATAAAACATTAAATTAATATTGGTGAAATGTATTATTACAGCAATAAAAAAACAAAATACATCAATAATAATGTTAAAACACAACTTGAAATTCAGCAGATATTTGTTATACAAGAAGAATATTCCTCCAAAGCCAAACAGAGTAGTCATGTTTAAGAGGTGAGTCACTCTTTCTCCTTTACAGGATTATGTGTGCGATGCGAGTGTAAAAAGTGGATAGCTTTAGCGCAACAACTGGACGTTGGCTCATCGTTGAGAGTGCAAAGTGCAGCTTTATGTGACGTGTAGAAAACAGCTGGAGGATCCTCTGCTCTAAAGTCTTTGCTGTGTCTTTGTGTGAGTGTGTGCATGTGTGTCTGTGTGTGTGTGTGTGTGTGCGTGTGTGTCTATGTCAGTGGTTAGTGGGGGCTCTGTGGGACACTGAAAGTTTGGGAGGCCCCTCTCACAGCCGTGGTGTTGCCTCCACAGTCCACATACTGGTACATCTCCTGGGACACCTGCTCGGCATGGCCCAGGTACGAGGTGGTCACTGTCACTCTAGAGGAGGCACAAACGAGACATGGTCAGAGAGGTTCAGCAACACAGATCTTACTCCTGAACTATGGAGCAATATCGCATTTGTTCTATTTGAGACCTGGTTTAGAAAAACTTGATAATAGAATTCAAAGGGACTTACTGCATCATGACACCGATGTTGTGGACCTTGATGCTCTGGAGAGTGCAGTAGTCACTGGGGGAAATAAACAAGTAAACAATAGCAGAAAACTATACACGTACAAGATGTATGTTGTGTATCAGCCTGGAGTGTCCGGTCAACCCAGTGGGCTCAAAAGTGTGGTAAAGCTGGATCAAAATGTCTAAACATGGCAACTATGAGGCAAAGAGAAGATGAAACGATCGATGAGGGTCACAGAGGAACCATTTCTACCTTACGCCTTAAACGCTTGTTTTCCATTTTGTTGATTATGTTTAAACTAGAAAAAGCTATTAATTAAAAACAAAAACTACTGTCATTTCCACCCCCTACTGATGTAGTACCTGGAGCTCACCTTTAGGAGGCAGTAGAGAGTCTTTTGCCTATGCCCCTGGGACCCAGATCAAAGTAATGGCGTTGACACGTACAAGGTCTATTGTGCAGACACTACTCCTGAGGTCAGTCCAAAGTGTCTTCAATAATCATAGGCTCAGGCTGTAAAGGTCTGACCAAACCCTTTATCTTTTGCTTATTACTAGGCACGACGCCACTCCAGTGTCTGCCAGATCAACAAAAACTCATTCATGGCTCAATCAGGGGTTCGTGCAAAAAAAAAAACATGATTTGACCGAAACATTTTTGTGGTCAAATATCAGAGTTCCATGATAAGCTTTGCCACGCTTAATTTTGACACGTTGCTACTGTTGCTACTGTTGCTACTGTTGCTACTGTTGCTACTGTTGCTACTGTTGCTTCTGTTGCTACTGTTGCTACTGTTCATTTAAAGGTTTGTCTTTCAAAAGAAGTGACATTTTGTTTGCTGTATTGATGAGCCCAGAGCCAGAGAAAGGAAATGGGATAAGTAAATAAAAAAATAAAAAAGCCATCTTATTTCCTATATTCCGGTGTGTTTGATCAGCAGCTGAACAAGCAGAGACACCTGAACAGAGCCTATTTAGACAACTACATATTCATTAGAAAGGATGCATTCCATTTTATTTGACCAGAGAGGTGTTTCTCTACAGGGGAACTCTTTCTATTCTACATGTTCTTTAACAACATCCTCATTTAATAAATATAAATTATGTTCATAACCAGAATAATAAGAGCATGTATATTCTGTCCTGTTGGGTTCAAATCAAAAGCTGCTGCTACTTGTTCATATTCACTACGTCTTTCATTTATGTACGTTCCCGGCATTAAGTAATTTGTTAGAGATTACGTTTTGGAGCTAACCTGTTGTGTTTGGATGTTCAGTGCACCAGAAACACTGGTTGGTTTTGGGGACGATTGTTTCAGCTGCCCTCCACTACAAGCTATAGGCTCTTTGAAACGTTGTGATGTCACATGAACGCTCATTCTACAGGCGGGTGATGGTGGTGACTTACAACATGTAGCTCATCTCGTCCGCGATGATGGTGGGTACCGTGTAATCGATCTGAAAGGGAGCAGAGGGAGTCAGAGGAGGGGGTAGAGGCTGTAGAGCGCCACAGCAGCAGGGGGCGCTACCTGCTTCATGTCCAGGGGGCTTATGGCCGTGATGTTGCTGATGCGACTCTTCCCGATCACGGTCTTGGCGAACTGCACCTGGGCCGTGATGTTGGCCACCTCCACAGAGTAGTAGTTATTGTTGGTAATGTTCAGAGTGTTCTGAAGAAGAAACAAAACATTTCATCTTAGAAAAGGTTTCACTTCAATCCAATCAATCCAGTTGAATCAATCTCAAAGTGCGACAGTATAACAAGTATTTGTGGGTGGCAAAGGAGGCGTATGCAAAGGAAAGCTTGTGTTATTGTCAGAACCGAATCTGACAATAACACAAGATCTGAATTTGTGAGACATTTTTTTCATCTACAACCTATTTCTTGTCTAATTGTAAAAAGGAAAACCAGTAGATTTTCTTCCGTACTTCGCTGGTCTAATTGATTAGTGACCTTGTCTTGTTCTTGTCATCTTCAATGTTGTGATTATACTGTGTCTGTCTGGTTTCAGATGATTGTTTGCTGTAAAACCAATTTCCCCTACTGGGACAATAAAGATTGTGACTTTTTTCCCCAAAACTGATTTGGAGGAAATATTTTTGTTTTCCTTAACGTCACAGCCTTAGTATTCATCATAATGCACTCTTTGCATTAGGCTGATTTAAGCTAGAATAACCTTCTTTTTTTTCACCTGTTTTTATGTGCAGACAATGTTATGATGTTAGGATGCTGTACCAGGGGTAATTTTTTTTTACATGAGCTATTTCCTTGGCGGTTTGGATTCAAACCACTGGGCCAGATATCAAATGAACAAATAATTGAGGATATAAAAAATAAATAAAAAATTCTTTGGCCATACTTGTATACGGAGGTCAGATTCCATCAGGGAGCCCTCTGTGGCCCTCAGGTGCCACAGTGGGGCAGCTGTGGCTGTAAAGCGCCAAAATGTTGCTGTGTCCTTAGGCCAGACACTTTCAACCTACATTGCCTAGAAAGAGTCAGGTGTGTGCATGAAAGGCTGGTGGTGGTCGGAGGGGCTGATGGTAGATACTGGTGGCCTCGCTTCTGTCAGTGTGCCCCAAGGCAGCTAAGGCTATAGTAGTAGTTATCACCAACGTGTGTGGAGTGAAAGAAAAATGATTACATGTTAGTTAACATATAGACAGATTTGATTGTAACAGATTCAATTATATGGTTGTCTTCCTGAGAAAACAAGCTTTAAATGAAGTATAACATTATCCCATTACAATGAATACTGCAAGTTAATGTAATAATAATAATTGAAAATAATTTGAGGGGCCACTAAAGATGGTCTTGCGGTCCGGATTTCGCCCTCGGGCCTGAGTTTCACATGCCTGGTGTATACAGTCATTTACCAACATTGCAGAGAAATGTCCCTATTATTACATCAATAATGGGAACTATATTCTTCCTATAAATACAACTGTTTTATGTAGTTTAAAGCAGTTTTCCTGTTCAGTCTTTCGGCCCCTCGTTTGAAACCGGCTCCAGACCTGCCATGGGATCTGAGCGTACCAAAAATTGAAAACGATATAACATATGGAGCTGCTGTGTGGCCGTTCAGACCGGATCATTCGTTCCGGAGACTTTCAATACAAAGTCAGTGGGGACGTCCGTTCGAGCGTGGAACTGCATGTGCGTCTCCAGAGGCGGCATTGCGGCGCAGTAGCGGCAAATCAACGGAGATAAACATTGTTGAACGTTTTCCGCTGGTCACACGTGTATCGACCGATAAGAGAGCCGCAAAGTGGTCACAGGGACATTAGCGGTCTAGCGAGCAGACTGAAAATACTCGTAAACAGCCAAAACAGAAGCTAAACCAGGACTAAACCAGGATTGACATTGGGAGACACAGTGCTTGTGAACATATGCCTCCAGCCTGATTTCTCATTCTCCCGTGACTATAAACAACTGCCTCTAACATGTTTGCAGATGCGGAAGTACTGTTTAATAATAAAATAAACTTATGGCGCACCTCCGTGAACACATACTGCTGTTATATAAAGTCTCTGGACACAGAGACGCTGCAGAGCTGCAATCTTCTAGAACATCTTCAAAAAAAAAGCCGCTAGCTTAACTCTGTTAGCATCAAAGCCCGCTCCGCCATTTCCGCCCTGCATTCTTTTCTGGTCTGAACGCTGCTAACATCTGAAATTTAGAGAAAGCACATTCCATGATGAAATCCAGTGCGCGAGGAAGCTACGTTCAAGCGTTAGCGCTCTGAAAGCCCCATAAGGATATGAAGCACTATATATTTTAGTGGACTGGAACATTGCTGTGGTCTCAGCTCACCGTGATGTTGAGATACACGCTCCTCCGTTCCTGGTCGTAGGCCACGTACACAGACTTGACTCCTACATAGGACACATCTATGGAGCGAGGGAAGAGGAAGAAGACTGCGAGGCTGGAGAGGAGGAGACACACCGCCACTGAGGCCGTCACATACAGCTTCCTACAGCAAAGCACAAGGACCAGTTAGACACAGAGGCACGCACACAGAGGCACGTACACAGAGAATGTGTGCTCCTCAATCCTACTGTCCTGTAATCTTGGATGCAACACTGAATCTAGAGTTGATTGTTTGTTTGTTTTTTTTTTTTTAATTGTGTTTTTTCCCCAACCACTCTGAACTGAAAAAAGAATTAACTTGCAGTCAAACAATAAGAACACAGGAAATGTAGCATTATGTCCATACAGAAAATAATCGGACCACAGTTATGTACTGCCAAATGTGGAACTTTGTGACAGCTTTTTAATTTAATGTGGATTGGTCCAATTACAGAAAAATCTGTTCTAAATTAAGACTGACTTTTGATTATAGTTACCAGGAAGGATGAGCAAGATAAGATGAATAAGTTAAGAGAAACCTTTGTTTTTCTGTCCCTAGGGAAATTTCAATGTCATAGCACTCACACATTAAAACGGGCTCTATTATCATAAGATAACAAAATAACTCTGGGAGGTATAATTGCACTGGGTTCAAGGATATCTGTAATTATAATAATCTGACCTCCACCACAATTTTAAACTATAATCTCTAGGTAAGGGTTGGAAGTCACATAAACGCCCCCTATTCAGGACAATAGAAGTAAACAGGTCTTCACTACGACCGGTTTGTCAATTTGTGTTTTATGAATAGTCTACACTTGTGTAACTGGAAGAAAGTGACATTCCTCACAGGGTTTGAGTCATATTCGGAAAAATATATTGTTGAAATTATCAATTAGTAATTAGTTGTGAATGACTTGTTGCAGTCTTATCTACAAGAATCAATTGTATTGTCCTGCAAAGCATTTGAAATGTGTGTGGTAATCATCACATGCTGTGGCTTTTTGAAGCAACGACTTTGTTATAGTGAGGAGAAAAGAACGACTCTTCATTTAATTTCAACCTCCTGTGTAACAAACTCTGCCTTATTTCAATTAAGATGTTTGTGGAGACTCACGTTCGCCTGGGCCTCAGTCGCTGGTCACTGTAGGGGATCAGTGCCACCAGCTGGTTCTCCTGTCCTGGGGTGAGAGGTGGAGTCAAGTTATGAAAGTGAAACATGTGCGCACTCCATGTTTACAATGCCATCACTCCTCAACAGTTTAATACATTTAAAATAAAAAAAACATTAGGGCTTAAAAATTGTAGACTGCTTTTTTATTCATCAGTGGTAATGTAAGCAGAAACGTTTATAACAGTTTGATTTGTTTACGTAGAGTAGGCCGAGTCTTGTGGAAAGCAAAAGTAATCCAGCTCGCAAACCATCTGCTTTCAGGAAAAAAAGCACTTCAATATCGCAATCTACTGTAACTACACAAATCACCCGGGAAAACTTAACTTGATTGTCCCTAATCAAAACTGACACCTAACATCCTAATTATTTCCAGAACTGTTCACAAAGTTCATCATCACAGGTCAGAGCTTAGTGGGACCATCTCAGTCGGCTAACACGGGCTCGACACATTAGCAGAGTACTTTTTGTTATATACAGAATAGTTGTATCTCAAATGCAGAAAGTGAACTCTTCTTTTGACCCTACTAGGGCTGGGATAAACAATATGTTGTTAATAATCTTGCAATTATTTTTTCAATACATTGGTATACAGGGCAGCTGTCTTTGAGTGTCCTGAAGAGCGCTATTTAAAACCAAATTGATGCATTGTTATAATTATTAATCCAATTTGACTACATCTCATTTCTTGACTGTTTTTCAAAGGGATTTACATAAAATTCACCAGAGCTGAAACTTTATAATTGAAGAGCCTAAAGTGAGGGTGCACAGGGATAAGGTTTATCAAAGCGTCACGGAACAAGCTAGCTTCCTGATGTACTGATCAGAGCCACTGCTGCTGCTACGAGACAGCAAATACACACATTTATTGAGTCTCAAATGGTAACACGCGGCACGGTGGCTGAGTGGATAGCACTCTCGCCTCTCAGCAAGAAGGTCCTGGGTTCGAATCCCGGTCAGACCAGGGCCTTTCTGAGTGGAGTTTGCATGTTCTCCCTGTGTCTGCGTAGGTTTCCTCCGGGTACTCCGGTTTCCCCTACCACTAAAAATATGTCCAATAGTTCTGGCATGCGCCTCCTGTACTGGCCCCGCTCCCATCTCTGTGTGGAGTGAGAGACAAATGCCCAAAATTGACAATTGTAAACCGCTTTGAGACTCAGATCTGCAGTGAAAAGGCGGTATATAAATAAAGACTAATAAAAAAAAATAAACTACTCTGCCCTCCAACTTTAGTTTGACACATGTATTCAGAATATGTATAATATTCTGAATTTCTGAGATGATATATTTGGGGTTTTTACAAGCTATGAGCCATAATTATCAAATTTATAACAAATAAAGGCTCAATATATTTCACTTTGCGTGAAATGAATGTCTCATAGATTAGTCATCCCAGCCCTAAACATGACTAGTTTCTTTTCTGACTGTGGAGAGAGCTTGTGGTCACCTCTGGGTATCCGCCCTGTGCCCTGGCAGGTGGGGCAGGTCACGCTGTCTCTGCCGGTGAATTCCACGTAGGGAAATTGTGACACGTCCTCGGACTTGGTCTCCTCCGTGTTGCTGTCCTCGATGGGGGACGTGAGGTGGCTGTCCTGGCCGTCATCATGCCCGGACAGCTGGGTGAGGTGGGAGAATGCCTTCCCCATAGTCACAGCTGGAAAACAAATACTGGGGATGTGAGCAAACATGAGCCTGCGTGGCGCGGCACAGTGGCTGAGTGGATAGCACTCTCGCCTCTCAGCAAGAAGGCCCTGGGTTCGAATCCCAGTTGGACCGGGGCCTTTCTGAGTGGAGTTTGCATGTTCTCCCTGTGTCCGCGTAGGTTTCCTCCGGGTGCTCCGGTTTCCCCTACCACTAAAAATATGTACAATAGCTCTGGCATGTACTGGCCTCCTGTACTGGCACCCTCACTCCCAAAATTAACAATTGTAAACCGCTTTGAGACTCTGATGTGCAGTGAAAAGGCGGTATATAAATAAAGCTTACTACTACTACTACTACTTACTACTACTTACTACTAGATACGACATTTATGATTATAGCTTACAATACAAATATGGCTCAAAATATCTCACTTTGCATGTAATTAATGTATCATATATTAGTGGCTCAGTGGTCAATTGAATTACAGAGGTAAATACATTTTTTATTTTCTAATTTTCCCAGTGTCACAATGCGGTAATGTCAGTTTTATATTGAATATTCCACACATTCAAAAAATCTATTTAGCCCTTTAACCTTTTGACCTCAAAACACGTGTTGATTTCAAAACACGTTGTGTGTATGTCTACTGGTCCTGCACACATGAAACAAAGCTTCTTTTTTCAATATACCTTTGTCAAATTTGTAATGATTTTTTTGCTATTAAAAATTCCCTTAACCCTTTGACCTTTTATTTCTAAATCACGTTGGGTTTATGCATACTGGTACCTCACACATGAAATGAATCTGTTGGAGAAACAGGAGTGGATGAAATAGGATGGCGACACATAAGACCTCAACAATTTTATGCTTGATATGTTACTGTTTAAAAAAGACAGCTTTATCTGTTTTCTGGTCAGCAACAGCTGATTAGGGTGAAAGTATATTAGGTTTCCTCAAATAAAAGCTAAGAATCTAATATTTTATAGGTCAAAGGGTTAAGAGCTCTTATTGTATTGTATTGTCAAATAACTGAATATTGTTTGGCTCCTCAAAGTTAGGCCAAATCCCCTGAAAACACTGCACAGCTCTTCCCTGATCTGAAAAAGCTCTGGCAGTCACTCTGGACCAGCTGCAGTCTACGCTCAGGTCAGACATTCGGAGCCCAATATTTCACACTATAGGTAGAGGAATGACTATGGAGTAACAATGTTGATTCTTCTGGATGAATTTTTATTAGCAAAAAAAAAAAAAAAAAAACATTAAATATAAACAACATTCTATACTGATGTTGGGTTACTGGCGATAGCATACACCCAACTCTTTTTAAATTAAAAAGATCAAAAGGTTAAAGGGCTAAACTGATTTATTTTAAATGTGTCGCATATCCAATATAAAACTAAATTAAAAAAACAACAAAGCTATCGTCTCATCCACTTTGACACAACATTACACATATGCTGGCACTGGAGGCTTACCGTGTTTATGACCGCTTGGATCATATGACAGAACTATAACCCACAATAGGTTGAGCGTAAAGAAATAATCAATCTCAATACGAAGAATGCGATCCAATGTCACGCTTAGACTCTTAACTACGTCTATTTAACGCCAAGTAAAAAATCCGAAGCTAACTGCTAGCGTTAGCTAAACACGTCAATCGAGAGCTAGCGTCAACATTAGCCAACACGGCTGAACGCTGTTTTCTGCATTAAAATATTAAGAGCAAACTCAAACATCTATATATCCGATAAGCCATGGCCCCCTCTGAGCAGTAAAAGGTCAAGAAAATTAAAGTTTTCCACCTGAATGTGACAGATGAGTCTGGAGCTGTGCTGACACTCGTCTTGTGTATGTTACAAGTGGTGTGTTCATGAGCGTGGGAAATAACAGTGCGAGAGAAATAGACAATAATAATATGTTAATATAATACATCCATGGTTATATGGCTGTATTTTGGTTGAGTACTATAAACCAGTGTTTTTCAACCTTTTTTGAGCCAAGGCACACTTTTTTCACTGAAAAAATCTTGCGGCACACCTCCAGGAGAAAATTTAAAAATGTATACAGTACTAATGTAAAAAAATTATACTGTACATACTCTGTGTGATATATAAAGTATATCTTATCTTATAATGTATACAGTATACTCTGTAGCCTATATTCACAATATACAGTTATTCTCATCAAAATGCTTAAGTCCAGGCCTTGAAATTAAGCTTTATTTAATATTTCTCGATACAATTAACAAGAGTTTGGGAATAAAGTGGCACTAACTGTGTGGAAAAAAACTAAGAAAATCCACTCTCTACCCAAATAGTCAAATAATAACTCACACAAAGAACATGCATTGTTAGTGCATGGGAAACATTTTGGTATCCGAGCTTTAAATTCAGGAGTTTTGGATGAGGGACACGGGAGGTCCTGAACGCGAGTCCATGGTTCTGTCCGGTCCGCATGTCTGTGGTTCTGTCCACTCGACTACGGTCTGCGCTCGGTACCCAGTTCAGAAGACCGCAGTAAAGTGGCCCACATCTTTCAGCTCTATGAACATGCGGGCCGCATCGGGGAAAAGACGGTGCGCGTTTTGTTGAGAACTTACGGTAACAGCGGAACGTCCTTTCGGAGTCACCCATTTTTATCGAACAGAAAGCGCGCTGGGGTCAGGGAGACACGTTTTTGTGATTTAAACCTTATAGAGATGACACATAGCACCAGCCCCCTACGATTCCTCCGGCAGATTGTGAGTCCTCAGGAGGATAGCCACTCTATTGTTTACATATATAAAGTACACAATTTGGTCCGCTAGTGCAATTTTCAAGTATTGTAACTATTTACTGGAATAAGGTGTGCGACTAATTTCACTTGACTGACTCATGAGCTTATTATTGCCCTCTACCACTGTACCAAAGACCAGAAACTTTTACTGTAGAAATATTGAGAAATATTGAGGTAAAGTAGCCATTTTGGTCCAAAATAGCCTAAAAATGGTCAAAACATGTCACTTTTGATCTACTGTAACTTTTTACTGTAAAAAGGTGTGCGACTAATTTCACTGGATTCACGACCTCATGATTGCCCTCTACCACTGTACCAAAGACCAGAAACTTTTACTGTAGAAAGTAGCCATTTTGGTCCAAAATAGCCTAAAAATGGTCAAAACATGTCACTTTTGATCTACTGTAACTTTTCACTGTAAAAAGGTGTGCGACTGATTTCACTGGATTCATGACCTCATGATTGCCCTCTACCACTGTACCAAAGACCAGGAACTTTTACTGTAGAAATATTGAGAAATATTGATTTAAAGTAGTCATTTTGGTCCAAAATAGCTCCAAAATAGTCAAAACATGTCACTTTTGATCTACTGTAACTTTTCACTGTAAAAAGGTGTGCGACTAATTTCACTGGATTCATGACCTCACCATTGCCCTCTACCACTGTACCAAAGACCAGAAACTTTTACTGTAGAAATATTGAGAAATATTGAGGTAAAGTAGCCATTTTGGTCCAAAATACCTCCAAAATAGTCAAAACATGTCACTTTTGATCTACTGTAACTTTTTACTGTAAAAAGGTGTGCGACTAATTTCACTGGATTCATGACCTCAACATTTCCCTCTACCACTGTACCAAAGACCAGAAACTTTTACTGTAAAAATTTGGAGAAATATGGAGTTAAAGTAGCCATTTTGGTCCAAAATAGTCTAAAAATGGTCAAAACATGTCACTTTTGATCTACTGTAACTTACTACTGTAAAAAGGTGTGCGACTAATTTCACTGGATTCATGACCTCATGATTGCCCTCTACCACTGTACCAAAGACCAGACACTTTTACTGTAGAAATATTGAGAAATATTGAGGTAAAGTAGCCATTTTGGTCCAAAATGGCTACTTATAACTCCATATTTCTCCAGATTTCTTAGTTTTGTGTATTTTGGACTAAAACGTGTAATTTGTCTCAATTTTACCCACAATTTCCAAAGTAAAGGTTTGTGGTTGTAGGCACAGCGGTGAAGGCAGTGGTGAGGTCATACACCCAGTGGAATAAGATACTCAAGTCTTTACTGTAAAAATGGACAGCAGCTGAAAATTTCACTTTTTGACCAAATTAAATGTCGAACATTTTAAGTTTTTACATGCTTTTCCAAATAAGGGTTTATTCACAAAACGAGTCTCCTAAGCGCGCTTTCTGTTCGAGGAGAAAAGCTGACAGCGAAAGGCTGTTCTGCTATTACCGTAAGCAGTCAACAAAACGCGCACTGCTTTTCTCTCGATGCGGGCCGTTTTACTTCGGAGGTGAAAGATGCGGCCCACTTTACCGCGGTATTCACGACCTCATGATTGAGGAATATTGAGGTAAAGTAGCCATTTTGGTCCAAAATGGCTACTTATAACTCCATATTTCTCCAGATTTCTACAGTAAAAGTTCCTGCTCTTTGGTACAGTGGTAGAGGGCAATCATGAGGTCGTGAATCCAGTGAAATTAGTCGCACACCTTTTTACAGTAAAAAGTTACAGTAGATCAAAAGTGACATGTTTTGACCATTTTTAGGCTATTTTTGGACCAAAATGGCTACTTTAACTCCATATTTCTCCAAATTTCTACAGTAAAAGTTTCTGGTCTTTGGTACAGTGGTAGAGGGCAATCATGAGGTCATGAATCCAGTGAAATTAGTCGCACACCTTTTTACAGTAAGAAGATACAGTAGATCAAAAGTGACATGTTTTGACCATTTTTAGGCTATTTTGGACCAAAATGGCTACTTTAAATCAATATTTCTCAATATTTCTACAGTAAAAGTTTCTGGTCTTTGGTACAGTGGTAGAGGGCAATCATGAAGTCATGAATCCAGTGAAATTAGTCGCACACCTTTTTACAGTAAAAAGTTACAGTAGATCAAAAGTGACATGTTTTGACTATTTGAGGTATTTTGGACCAAAATGACTACTTTAAATCAATATTTCTCAATATTTCTACAGTAAAAGTGTCTGGTCTTTGGTACAGTGGTAGAGGGCAATCATGAGGTCATGAATCCAGTGAAATTAGTCGCACACCTTTTTACAGTAAGAAGATACAGTAGATCAAAAGTGACATGTTTTGACCATTTTTAGGCTATTTTTGGACCAAAATGGCTACTTTAACTCCATATTTCTCCAAATTTCTACAGTAAAAGTTTCTGGTCTTTGGTACAGTGGTAGAGGGCAATCATGAAGTCATGAATCCAGTGAAATTAGTCGCACACCTTTTTACAGTAAAAAGTTACAGTAGCTCAAAAGTGACATGTTTTGACTATTTGAGGTATTTTGGACCAAAATGACTACTTTAAATCAATATTTCTCAATATTTCTACAGTAAAAGTGTCTGGTCTTTGGTACAGTGGTAGAGGGCAATCATGAGGTCATGAATCCAGTGAAATTAGTCGCACACCTTTTTACAGTAAAAAGTTACAGTAGATCAAAAATGACATGTTTTGACTATTTTGGAGGTATTTTGGACCAAAATGGCTTCTTTAAATCAGTATTTCTCAAAATTTCTACAGTAAATGTTTCTTGTCTTTGGTACAGTGGTAGAGGGCAATGTTGAGGTCATGAATCCAGTGAAATTAGTCTCACACCTTTTTACAGTAAAAAAGTTACAGTAGATCAGCCATTCCCAAATTCAGTAACACCGAGGCCCCCTTAAAAATCTGACGGGTCTGCGTGGCCCCCCAAAATAATAACCAAGAAGACAACATTAAGAATAGGCTCTTCTGGTTATTTTATTTTGGGGAAATAGCCTCTGCTACAAACATTGTAATACAAAAATGATTACAGTGGATTATTCAAGTCAAATAATGAACACAAATACTTTAATATTACAAACAAAACATTATAAATTTAACATTAAATAATTAAATTATTTTTTTATTTTTTTTATGACCTCCCGCGGCCCCCCTGCAGTACCCTCGCGGCCCACCAGGGGGCCGCGGACCCCACTTTGGGAGACACTGCAGTAGATCAAAGGTGGGAATTTTCTTAGTTTTGTGTATTTTGGACTAAAACGTGTAATTTGTCTCAATTTTACCCACAATTTCCAAAGTAAAGGTTTGTGGTTGTAGGCACAGCGGTGAAGGCAGTGGTGAGGTCATACACCCAGTGGAATAAGATACTCAAGTCTTTACTGTAAAAATGGACAGCAGCTGAAAATTTCACTTTTTGACCAAATTAAATGTCGAACATTTTAAGTTTTTACATGCTTTTCCAAATAAGGGTTTATTCACAAAACGAGTCTCCTAAGCGCGCTTTCTGTTCGAGGAGAAAAGCTGACAGCGAAAGGCTGTTCTGCTATTACCGTAAGCAGTCAACAAAACGCGCACTGCTTTTCTCTCGATGCGGGCCGTTTTACTTCGGAGGTGAAAGATGCGGCCCACTTTACCGCGGTGTTCAGAAGTGCGTTCGCGAGAGCTGTTGTACAAAAATCGTACATTTCATAGTTAAACCACTACAACGCGGCCACAGCTGCCCCGGGGCAGAGCGGAGGATGTTAATCCTGTTCAGAAACGGCATAATTCATTTTCAAAAACGTCTCTATCACTTTCACTTCTCACTCGCCACAAAGCTCTTGTCTCGCTCCATCACACATTTGTTGGTCGCATCCAATTTTACCTTTCTCGCCACAATGCTGACCTGATACAGCCAGTGGTCGCATCCAATTTTTCAGTTTCAAAGTACTTAGCTATCTGCTGCCATCTACTGATTTGAAAAAGTATTACATGGTTACTCACAGTTCAAAACAAGTCACCGCTCGTCAACAGCGAATGCAGCTATTTTTAGACAAAGTAGACGAATTTCTCACGGCACACCAGACAATATCATACGGCACACTAGTGTGCCGCGGCACAGTGGTTGAAAAACACTGCTATAAACTACTACATTATTATACTTTGTATATTTAAAAAGTTGGATACTGCAAAATATGTTGAATTATATACACTTTATGAGCGATTGGATGTAATGTATAAATGAATGCAAGTTTTATTTTTATTTTTTTTCTTGATGAGAATTGTATCGGGGCAAAGGTCATCACTTTTGGAAAAATATGAGACTTGTATTCTTCTTTTCTGCTCTTTTCCATTTACGTAAATGTTTAAAATATATATTGTAACTATTAATATTATGTGAACAATGTAATGAGATTAACAACATTTTTATGAAAGGAATAAGGAAGTGAATAAATACAAAAAATACAAACATGCACACACCTATAATCAAGGTAAATGATATAATCACATTAGATACGATTCAAACGTATATGCAAGTGTCAACACTGTAGTATTCCTCTTGCACAGCAGGTGGCAGTGGTGACGTTATTATGAGTCAGTAACAAAAAACTCGTAACAAATAGCAGTAACTCGTCTCTTCGAAAGTCCTCTTGCTTCAAACAGTTATGGTTCTAAATCATGTTCCAAGCTGCTCTTTCTTTTTCATCTATATAGCATGTTCATGCTATATATGCTATATAAAGTTTCATGTTTAACTGTAGAAACTCATTTCCGTTTGATGTATATAGCACGTCCAAAAGGAATGTTGCACAGACATTAAAAAAAAAGCGAAGCATACTTTTACTTTTTTATTCTGTTGCAGCAGGTCTTTATCTTGAATGAAAGTTAGTGTTATCCTTGTTGCAATGTGTTGTGCAATGTTTAGATTAATCACTAGATGTTTAGGCTCAATTTTACCCCAATATTCGTACATAGTGTCTAATAGGGTCCACTCAGGCTAATTCCTGTGCTCTGGTTCAGATCATGCATGTTTTGCGTGGGCAAATCTATGCCTTGTATGTGTATAAATCATTTATTTGAATGTGTTATTTGTTTAACACATTACACTACAGAAGTCACCGTTTATTTACTCTGAGGCTGTAAGTCCCCTTGTCCAGAACCACTCAGAGGCTGTGAGTCCTCTTGTTCAGAACCACTCTGAGGCTGTGAGTCCCCTTGTTCAGAACCACTCAGAGGCTGTGAGTCTTCTTGTTCAGAACCACTCTGAGGCTGTGAGTCCTCTTGTCCAGAACCACTCTGAGGCTGTGAGTCCTCTTGTTCAGAACCACTCTGAGGCTGTGAGTCCTCTTGTCCAGAACCACTCTGAGGCTGTGAGTCCTCTTGTTCAGAACCACTCTGAGGCTGTGAGTCCTCTTGTCCAGAACCACTCTGAGGCTGTGAGTCCTCTTGTTCAGAACCATTCTGAGGCTGTGAGTCCCCTTGTTCAGAACCACTCAGAGGCTGTGAGTCCTCTTGTTCAGAACCACTCTGAGGCTGTGAGTCCTCTTGTCCAGAACCACTCTGAGGCTGTGAGTCCTCTTGTTCAGAACCATTCTGAGGCTGTGAGTCCCCTTGTTCAGAACCACTCTGAGGCTGTAAGTCCTCTTGTTCAGAACCACTCTGAGGCTGTGAGTCCTCTTGTCCAGAACCACTCTGAGGCTGTGAGTCCTCTTGTTCAGAACCACTCTGAGGCTGTGAGTCCTCTTGTTCAGAACCACGACTATGAGGCTGGCTGTGGTCCTCTTGTGACTTTTGACTCAAGTAAAAGTCTGACATGGATATTTTGCGCCATGCCTCCTTTGCTTTGTTACCACCGTTTTTATCATTTTCTTTGATGATTTGGAGGTATGGGAGGCAGTTGTCTTTGGCCTTTTCTTTTGCTAGTTTACTCAGTTCCTCCTCCAGATGATTGCTGAACTCCTCCTCCAGGAAATGTTCGTAAAGTACTTCATAGTAGGGAGGACAGCACAGGTCTTTGTCCCGATTGCACGAAGAGGTGCACCTTCGGAGTCGGCTACAGCAGAAACCCAGTGAAGCAAACAACGTCCGACCCACAAACAAGCTGCAAAGTAAATACAGCCCAATCTCCTAAAAACAGACAACATTTCAGTAAACATTAATGTACATTATAAAGCTAAATATTTAATGTAAAGGCAAACATACTAATGTTGAGTAATGCATCACCTTACAGTACCAAAGAATATGATCATGCGATTTAGGAAGCGTTCACAATAGTACCAAAGAATTAATTAAAGCATCACTTTTAGTTTCACTTTAGACAATGAAACATGCTGATGCATCTTAACGCTAGATTAGTATTCATAATAATGTAGAAAAGGATCTCATTACTCATCTTGATTGGATCACGTTGTAATGAAATACGTTACAAAATACATGTAAATGCATACAAAGTATTCTGAATACAAAACATTTAAGGATTTCTTCCATTGAGATAAAAGCACAAACATCTCTTAAGTAATCAAATGCATTGATGGTTACAGTACAAATGTACTGTTGAGTAAAACTTTTTATCAATCAAGCCTATTCGTGCTTCAACTGCCATTGGGCAAAAGGCCAGCTCTCCACTATACTGTACACTTACCAAAGACTCAATTTTCTTGTCATTCTTGAATTGTTTTTCGTCATCTGTAAGGCTTGTTTGATCTTTGCAAGGCATCCCGGTGTAGTTAGAGTTCAAATTTGTCTTGAGGCAAACATACCAGTCTCCATCAAACAGAACAGCTACTATCCAAACCCCACCCACAACAATTAACTTTCCAATGATAAAAAATATGTTGTCGCAACAGTTTGAGTAACATTTGCACAAGTTACATATCCAGGATCTTTTCCGGTGAAAAGTCTCAATGTAGAGAAAAACCCAGGTCAGAATCAAAGAAGGTGCAACCAGGAAAAGCACACCGTTGACATGGACACCAGCTCTGCACGAGCACTGGAACTTCATGTCAAAAATGTACTGCAAGGTGAAGAACAGCACGACGAATACTGACGCGCTCGCAGCCCTAACAAAACCGTTCAAAAGTTTATCTACTATGTCATGGCCGATGGTCATGGTGTCCTCCTTCAAAAGCCTGTGGACTTAAGCTGCTGGTGTAAAGTCAAGAGTGCGAGTCCAAATACAAAGTCTCTGAGATGCCACTGGTCTTAAAGACACTCACAACACGTCACCAGACAAAACCATGTGAACCACAAACCAGATCTGCCTCTGTCAGCACAGATATCATATTTATCATTTTACCAACTTCTGCCAATCATCATCCATCCAAATGCTTCTCTCTCAGACTGGAGACACGACAACAGGAGTCTCTAACCTACATCCTGGGAGCGATAACTACATACTTCCTTTATTTTATCATATTTGAGTTTCCAGTAAATGCCTACGATACTAATGAGCCTTAGTAATAATAAGAAAGTAATAATTAGCAATAATCGAAGAAAACAAAAGTTATAAAAGTAAAAATAGAATAATCAATCCATCAATAACATTTTATTTATAAAGCACTTTTCATACAGAAAATTTAGTTATACAGTTAGCAGTTTAGTTAAAAACCATACAATATGCCCCTATTAAGGCAAGCATACAAAAAGATTTTTTCTTAGAATTACTATAATATACATGTGGACTAAATAAACAAACATACATACATGTGGACTAAATAAACATACTTACACTTACTGCTATATTTTAATGTGAAAATGATCCTGAGAGATTAGCGATGAGGTACCTAACTTTTCCCTGGACTATAAACTTACATCTTCTTTGAACCATGTGGCCTATAGAGTGATGTGGCTGATCCATGGACTATTATTGTGGTAGGCTTGTGCTGGTGTCAGAGCAGACTTTTTACTTTGACTACATTTTTCAAGTTTTAGTAGCAATGTGACGCACATTTATTGTCCAAAAAACAACAAATATGGAAGCTGATCCAATGTTCATTGTTGTTATTTGCCTTTGCTTTGTTTCTCATGAACGACAACCTTGAAAACACTCCTGACGTAAGCCTTAGCGGCATCAGGATGGGTCAAATGCAGAGGATGACCCTACGGCAGGCATGTCAAAGTCAAATACATCAGAGGGCAAAAAAAACAAATTTTCTGCGAGCCGAGGGCCGGACTGGTTCAATGTTTATTAACTCATTGCCTGCCAGCCTATTTCAGAACAGGTACTCCCATATTGCCAGCAGTTTCTGATGATTTTTTATAGATTTTTCAAGACCCACAGAATATTGTGTACTATGACTATCTGAAATCCGAAACCATATTCTGAAAGAATAGACTGTCTACTTTCATCAGCAAAAAGAATTTTGTTTCTAGCTTGTAATCCCCAGTTGAGTAGAGGGAAGTTTTACTGAAATCACCAAAAAGTTGAGAAAAAAGAGGCAGAACAAGTGCATCTAGCTGTTTTCAAACCATTCAGAGAGCGCTACTGCCACCTGCTGGCTCGATTCAATATTCTCTCAAGCTTATCCCCAAACATATTAGATATAATAGACATCTGGGAACATGAAACGAGCGGAAAACTCAATTGACGTAATAGTGCGTCAATGGCAGGCAACGTGTCATGTAAAATTCATTCGTGGGCCGGATTTCGCCCGCGGCCTTGACTTTGACACATGTGCCCTACGGGGATCAATAAAGTGCACCTTTACCTATAGAAAGAGCCCTCTATTTACTGAATCAGGGTGGTCCTCTTTTTCTCACTTTTCAGTCTGAAAAAGCTGATCTAATGATGTGAAAGAGGTAAAAAATAAATAAATACATGTTGTAGAAAATAGTATTATTTGAATTATGTCTTTTATTATCTCTTTTGCACCACCTATAATGATGAAACGGCCCAAATGCTTCTCTCTCAGACTGGAGACACGACAACAGGAGTCTCTAACCTACATCCTGGGAGCGATAACAACATACTTGGGAAATGTTTGGCTGTTGTCTGCCAAAAGCATCACCTCTACATTAGTTTTGTGAATGTCTCCAGAGTCTCTCATGTCTAATGTGTCTTTACAACGTTCCCTAAATGGGTAGTTATCACATCTCTCAAACTTTTGTCTCGTTTATTCAGACAGAATACATTTCACATTCTAGATCTATAAAGTGAAATGCCAAAGTAAATGAGCATCAAACTTTCATTCCATATACGTTTTCCTGCTCCTAAATGCAAAACTGATATGAGACATTCATCGATGGTCAAATGTAATGAAAAAGTACTTCTTTAGTATAGTATAATTACTTATTTCAATATACAGATGGCATTATTCGCTTCACAACAAAATCATATTTGAACTGAGAAATACATTTATGATGGTACCTTTTTGTTTCGTCTGTAATTATGGGGAGCATCTCTATCATAGAATTATAAAATGAAACTTTTAGCATGTGCTTTCCCAGAGATACTATATTAGCAGCTGTGGTTCATGCACAGGGAAATTTCTCTGGGTTTTCTTCAAAAATCTATCATGTTGTCCAGACTTGGTTGAAGTAAGGAAGTGAAAATCAAAAGCAAGATCACATGCCAACCCAATGTGGGGTCTGTTTCACATTTTGTTCCTTTATTTTATCATATTTGAGTTTCCAGTAAATGCCTACGATACTAATGAGCCTTAGTAATAATAAGCAAGTAATAATTAGCAATAATCGAAGAAAACAAAAGTTATAAAAGTAAAAATAGAATAATCAATCCATCAATAACATTTTATTTATAAAGCACTTTTCATACAGAAAATATAGTTATACAGTTAGCAGTTTAGTTAAAAACCATACAATATGCCCCTATTAAGGCAAGCATACAAAAAGATTTTTTCTTAGAATTACTATAATATACAGGTGGACTAAATAAACATACTTACTTAACACTTACTGCTATATTTTAATGTGAAAATGATCCTGAGAGATTAGCGATGAGGTACCTAACTTTTCCCTGGACTATAAACTTACATCTTCTTTGAACCATGTGGCCTATAGAGTGATGTGGCTGATCCATGTACTATTATTGTGGTAGGCTTGTGCTGGTGTCAGAGCAGACTTTTTACTTTGACTACATTTTTCAAGTTTTAGTAGCAATGTGACGCACATTTATTGTCCAAAAAAACAACAAATATGGAAGCTGATCCAATGTTCATTGTTGTTATTTGCCTTTGCTTTGTTTCTCATGAACGACAACCTTGAAAACAACACCTTTAAAGCATTGTGGGAAACACATTTGGGCACTGTATGAATGAATGCATGTTTGGCTGGTGGAGAGGCAATGTATGGTGTGTGTGTGTGTGTGTGTGCGTGCGTACGTGTTTTCGAGATTATGAATGGGCAATGGTCAATTATTATAGTTTGCTTAATTTATAAAAAATATAAAAATTAAGCCGCGCATCAACAACTGGAGATGGGTTCCCGGGACTAGCGACCACTGCTCCTGACGTAAGCCTTAGCGGCATCAGGATGGGTCAAATGCAGAGGATGACCCTACGGGGATCAATAAAGTGCACCTTTACCTATAGAAAGAGCCCTCTATTTACTGAATCAGGGTGGTCCTCTTTTTCTCACTTTTCAGTCTGAAAAAGCTGATCTAATGATGTGAAAGAGGTAAAAAAAAAAAAATACATGTTGTAGAAAATAGTATTATTTGAATTATGTCTTTTATTATGTCTTTTGCACCACCTATAATGATGAAACGGTCAAACCAATCAACCCTGTGGTCAAGGAAAGGGTCCATTGTGTTTTTGTATCATAAAAAATATGTCTGAAATACCACACAGTAAGCACACTTATCTGCTGTTCTCTTATCCGATTACAGCCGTCCTTACTGCCAAAAATATTCTCTTGTTTCCTTGGAGATTATGCCAATGTGGGCAAAACAACTACCTCAGGGGAAGAGATTATTTTCATGCACCCAGCAAAATATATCTTCTGCAACAAAATATCTCACATGGGATCCCGGTGCTGCATACTATAGGCCCATGATATGAAGATAAATGAGAAGTGATGGAGCAGTGTAGTTAGGGAGGAGAGTACACATTATGAGGCCCTTATGGACTATAGAGAATGTGGGGTGTAGGATTAATAACTGTCTTATAGCTTTTTGAATCAAATTAGTAATCAAAGTGTAAGACAGTGTGTATGTATTGACTCATACAGCTGAGCCATCCATCTAAGTCAGGGCTCTCCAACCTTTTTTGATTGGAGAGCTACTTTTTTATGAAACAGAAAAGGCAGAAAGCTACTCCTTTTAGCTGTTGATATACAATTGCAGTCGGTATAATAACTACAGCCAATCATGGTGAACACTCGTATATATTATATTATACTGTTGAGTATCAGTATTAATTCATGGTCCGAACCAAGATGGTCAGGTGAAAATCCACTGGAGGAATGCTAATGAAGCATTTAGCATTTTACTTTGGACTAGAGCAAAGAAAATGTTCCAAACTAATTGGTTACTCTACCTTGTGACCCGTCCTGCTCCACCCAGAGGCAACTACATCTGTGCTGCTGTGACCTGAAGGGCGGTTGCTGATTATGACTATTTTTAACTTTTTAGAATGATCAATTTTATTTTTTATTTTTGCTGCTACTGGATACCTGAATTTCTCCTACGGGGATCAATAAAGTATCTATCTATCTATCTATTTATCGAAGAGATTTATAGTTAAAAAAGACATGCTATGACCTCAAAAGTGAATAATTCAGGATCATGTGTTAAATCCTGGATAGCCTGTCTGTCTGTGGGAGCGGATTTCTCACCTTTTCCCACTGGGTTTCAGTTGTTACTTTCCAATGCAGGAGGGTCTGTTGAGCCCATTTATGGACATTGGTCATCTGCCCCTTATGGACCAATGGACTCTATGTGTTTTTTACAGTATAATTGCATTTCCTGTGTTTGAACGGTTTGATTCTCTGATCTGCATTGGCGAATTCAATGGCTTTGTAAAGTCCTCCGAGATAACTACTGTGATTTAGGGCTATACAAGAAAAAATTTAATAAATCTCTCGAGCCAAAGATTGGAGACCCCAGATCTAAACCAAAAACCTTTGTGCCTTTTACTAATATCGGCAGCTGCACAATGGCGTCTCGCTTCGATTCCAATTTCAGACAAAGGCTTTTCTGAGTGAAGTTTGCATGTTCTCCCTGTGTCTGAATAAGTTGTCTACTGGTGCTCCGGTTTCCCCATCACTAAAATGATGCACGAT